ATCACTCAAACTCATTTTGTTTTATTGACGTGAGTAACCCCATGATGTTCAGTGCAGCTACTTACATTAATAAAGACACGCAACTCTTGAGTGATTGTAGGATCAGGGCTTTCAGGTTGTGAATAGTCATAGGCTTCTCTGCCATTAACAGGTCATTGATAAACTGCAGTTTCCTCCACATCTGACAGAGGGATTCTAAGGTATACATACATCACTGTCATTTTTCTGTTACAACTTTTTTAAATGCAGAATCAGATTTAGGAGGCAATCAATAGCAATCCAGTTGCAAGCACCTCTAATGAAGGGCAGTAGAAACAATTTGGTATTAGATTTCCACGTAAAAGGTCTCAGAAAAACTATTTCTCAGTGCCTCTTTATCTGCCCAAAAAGAAGATCAAGGTGTTTATCCCAGGCTTGAAGCCAGGGAGGATACACACATGCACTGAATCTCACACACAGCAAGAAACACCACTGGGTTGAATAGCACAGCTAAAGTTGCATAAAGTTACTGCTGACACAGATTGTTTATTGTACTCACATCTATTCTTCAACTATATATTCCTACTATTCTTCTTATTATAATTAACTATAGCTGAAAGGACAATGATAATCATAGAATCATGGAGTCGTTTGGGTTAGAAGAGACCTTAAATACCATCTAGTTCCAACCCCCCTGCCATGGGCAGGGACACCTTCCTCTAGACCAGGTTGCTCAAAGCCTCATCCAGCCTGGCCTTGAAAACAGCCAGGGATGGGGCATCCACAGCTTCTTTCTCGATTCTTAAAAGTATTTCCAAAAAGGAATTAAAAATATATGTAAAAATTGAAAGCCTCTGCTAGGATACCCTGCCAGTATATCTATTGTATTTTTACTTTGTGAATAAGAATAGATTGGTAACAGTGATATGGGTCAAGTTTAGTGCAAATTCTTCCACACCACTCTGACCATGCACAGCAGCTCTCCCTGTTCCCTGAACCCTAATCCAGACTCAGCAAAGCTTGGAAGTCACAGCAGATTCATATTTTGTCAGATGCTCAGTGAACACCCAATGATCCTTGAAAACCAATGTGATTCCCATTTTCAGATACACAAGTTAGAAGAAGAGGAAGGAATAAAATTATGCAATAACTTCCTCAACACAAGTATGAAAAATACCAATAAGCATAGGCTGATGTAAATTAGCTCATATCTCCTACACCCCAGCTGAAAATCCATTATCTTTGCTCACAAAGTAGATTCCTGCACTTGACTTTCACCTCCTAGAATCAATTAATTCAGATTAAGGGATACTACTACATATGCAACTCTAATCCAAACTGCTATTCCTAACTGGTAAAAATTACTTTAATTAAGCCCTAGACTTCAAATAGGTCTGTGGTATAACAGTACTGAAATGCTCCAGATTAGCTACTTGTTTGGTGCCTGATCTAATTCCAGATAAAGAAATGTGTTTGATACTAAGTCGATTTTGAAAAGAAAATGAAGACTATCAACACAAATCACCCTGAAATCATACTGTACTAGCTCAAAAATTACGCTTTCCAATTTTTCTGGGCTTTTTAATATACTTTATTTCCAAGGTTTCCTGTAATACCATTAAGGATAATTAATGTTTTATTTGAAAACCTTGTACCATCTAGAAACTATGTTAGGTCCAGTATTCTGAGGGTTGATGGTATTGCAACAGAGAATGCCATCTCCCTAGCAGAGAAGCCAGCAGGAGACTAACACCTTAAGTTTCTGAATTCATGCCCCCAGTTCACCACTAAAACTTTCAGAGAAACTGTTTATTTACATGGCAGCAATGCAGCGAAGGGCCATTCTATCTCAAGTGGTCTTCCTAGACCCTGAAAAGCCTCACAATCACTCCCAAGCCACGTTTCAGCAGGGTGGGAATTGTTACCAGCACTGCCACGGAACCTCTTTTCCTTGATTTTAAGATAAAAGGTTTTTGGGTCTGGCCACTCAAGAGAATAGTCTTCACCAGCAACTCATACGCCTCTGGCGCCAGGAATATCACGTGACGTTTGGGGTCGCTCCCTCGCTCTGAACATTCCTCTGAGGTGACAGTCTAGGACCAAGAGCCAGTGAATGCCCTTCTTCAAAATGCACAAAGGTGGCAATCAAATCTGTAGGGTAGTCCTGACGGGACTGAGAATGAGAAGGGGGACAGAGCCATGCATGAAAGCAGCCCATCTGCTTGGCAGTGCCTGTGCTGGAATCAGGATCACCACTTTTCTTACAGTCTAAGACCAGCAACATCACCTGGGTTCACAGAAACCATAAGACTGTAAAGATGACACTAAGAAAGGCTTGTTAAAGCCTCCAAACACAACAAAACAAAAAACCAAACACGTTTCCAAATACACAGCAGCAGACTGAGCAATGCTAAGAAGCATCTGTCAGACCAAGTAGCCACACGAAGAACCATGGAGAGGCAAGTCTCAGAAAGGTTCACGTACCTCCCAGTTAGAGAGGTGAGTAGCTGGTAGAGGAGAGAGAGTGGGAGCAATCAAACGGCAAGTTCTTACCCTGACCCTACAGCAAGACAGTACAGAGCTTAAAAAGACAACAGCACTCATGACTAGGTTTCCAAATGGGAAGTGCCAGGATTCTTATGAAAACAGCTTCTTTTTAATACATGGGCTTGCACTAGGCCCAAGAGACAGACCAGTAGCAAACCAGAAAAGCAAAATATAAAGGAGAAAAAAGAATGATAGAGCTCAATTCAAAACGAAAAATCCATTAAATCTAGATTTAATGAAAACACTGAGAGAACTCACATACACATCGCAAATCTTTGGAAGTTATTTTGCAAATCACGGTCAGGAGCAGAAGAAATGCCATTCCCCCAAATGTTCTTTAGAATGAAAACAGAAACTCAGCTGCAGTAAACTAACAGTTAAAAGCAAAAGCCAAAATGAAATGAGCTGTCCCTCCTCTGTATTTTGCAGCCCTCAAAAGCTTTCAACATATTTATCAGCCTTTTTTTCTTCCACTAAAATTTCACTTTTCAGCTTTCTTTAATCCTAGCTTTCAACATGCCCTTTCTTGGATCTTAATTGTTCTCATCCCACCTTCCACTCACATTTTGTGTTGCCCTGAAAGAAACATTGCTTGCTTAACAAGAAGAGCCACAGAAGGATTTTTAGCCTATTCTAAAACAACACTGCAGTATTTCTACCTTTTTTTTTCCATGAATTGCCTTTACAAAGGTCATTCAAAAAATATATGATGTCCTACGTCAAAGGAAAGCTAGTCCATCAAAGAAAATGGTAATACGCATATAGCCAGAATATTAGGAGTGCCGAAATTACCCCATCCTCTGTGGTTTACATTTATTTGCATGCACTCGCTCATTCGGCGTGATTCTCTGCTGCAGCTTCATGACTTCAAGGTAAATTCAGTGCTACGACGATTACTGGGGGCTGGGAGATTCCAGGACACAGGAGGTGAGGCCGAGGAAAGGATGTGGGTGCGTCACATCACGCATGGGGCAGGGAATACATTTCTTCTGGGACTCTCTGCATAGGCTCCTCAGCTAGAAGGTGGGGGCCAGGTTTGAAAGCCTGTCAGAGACCATCAGCTCCAGGGAGTACTGATGAGATGTTCTTGGCATCTGGGGGAGGTCTGTAGCTCATTCTGCCTTGCAGAAAGGTTCAG